ATAAAGGGGCCCAGATATATCCAGGAGCCATCTATGACATCTCTACAGTTCTTCATATATTTTTGTCTTCAGTCCTTTAATCGTCTCAGTTGCTCTTCTTTGCACTTTTTCCAAAGTCAGTTTTTGTACTGTGTAACATATCATGCAGATGATATAGTAAACTTAGAATAAACAATAAATCCCCATTCAGATTGTTACGAGCCCACTGATCTACAAAGTTAGGTGACAGCTGTATTTGAATGAATTCTGAATTCACACTGGATAGGTTTTCTTGGTGGGAGAAGATGGCTTGACCTATATAAATGTGAATTCTGAATTAACTGGCCAACCGTGTGGAGGAAAGAAAAATGGGAGAGCTAGAATGTCAGATTCGAAGATGGCATTCGTAGGCAGTTAAGAAAAATATGTTCAGAAAGAGAAATGATTGAGAACATTAAGATACGATGGATCTCTAACGAGAATAGTACAGCAATTTCTTTTTTCCTATATTGTGAATGTATTAAGTGATGATCTCTATCTGCCTAAAAATGGAAGGAACAATTTTCTTAAAAGAAATGATTTAAATGCTTAGCAAAATTGTGTCTTTGTGTCTGTGTTGGAAAATTCAATGCATTTGGTTTGATTAGTTGTGAAAATGTGTGTGCAAATAACCTACTTTTTCTGAGAATGAATGTATGCTTGTGACTATGTCTCTATTTAAAAATATGTAATTTGTATTACATTAGGCCACTACATCATATATTAGTTCCACAGTGTTAATCCTATAAAGGAGAATATCTTACTTGTTTCCGTAGAACTTCAGTTTAGAAGTAAGGAATAGCTCAAAAGATAGATATGTTAAATTTAACTAACTGATAAAAAAGTCCAGTACAAAAAAACAGTGTTCAGAACACATTTTGTTCTTATCTGTAGTATATTTGCTGAATGCTGAGAAAGTCGCAGAGGTAAACGAGCTATTTATCAAATTTTTATCTTGCATTTTTTTTCTCCCAAGGAGTTAAAAATGGCTTATTTGTTGCTGGCAGAGCTCAGTTCCTTTTTATAATGATTGTTATTGAAACTTTCAAAGCAGAAGATTAAAACAAGGAACTCTGCAGTAATGTAATTACAACTGCTGTGAAGAAGCAGGGTGTTTTTCCCCCTTTTTTTCTTCCTTATTTTGTATTTGTTTGTATTAGCTGCTGGCAGAGTTCATGAAGAATTGAGCTATATGCAAGAGTGACCTTGATTCAGCTACTCTGCTCAAAGATGTATGCTATCGTGTTGAAAGTTTAGAGGCTAATAAACATGACAAATGCCAAAAAGATGCTTTAGGATACAAGGAACAGCATAGGTCGTATTGTTCCCACAGCCAATGAAGGTTATTTATTTTACAATACAATACAATAGCAGAGTTGGAAGGGACCTTGGAGGTCTTCTAGTCCAACCCCCTACCTAGGCAGGAAACCCTATACCTTATTTTTTTTTTTATTAAAATGTTTTTATTTTCCATTTTTCATTTTCATACAGATTGTGTTTTGACTGGCTGTAAGCTGAGACATATACTGGGCCAGTATATTGATTTTTAAAAATATAAACAATGCTACACTTCAATGGTTAGATGGCCTAGGCGACGTTTTTTGAACATAGATTTTTTTTAACATTCATATGTTATTGGGTTTTACTAGTCTAGGTGAAATGTTTATATATATATATATATATATATATATATA